GTAAAATTAGATCAAAATTAGAGATAACAAAAATATCAGAGAGTTTAAAATAGAGTATTTATAAATAAATACTAGATATAGTAGTTAGTAAGTAACTTTAATAACAAAATCTTTAAATAGATAATAATCAAAGTTGTATATATAACTAATTATATTTTTACTAATTAATATAAATCTAAAAATTATCTAATAAAAATTAATTAGTATAAGACTTTATTGAAAAAATAAAAATAAAAAAAAAAGTTTCTAAAACTTTTTTTGAAATTTTATTTAAATAAGAGTTGTTAGTAGTAGAATTGATTTTAAATTTAATATAAGAATTAAAAAATATAATTTTAAAGTTAAGAAAAAGATATAATTAAAAGATATATCTAGTATAATTATTGAAGAAAACTTAAATAATATTTTTAAAGTTATTTAGAAAAATACTATATTAATAACTAAATATAATATTATATACTACTACTTTAACTTTACTATAAAGCTACTAGTTTATTTAAATAAGTAGTAATAGTTTGTTAAAAATAAAAGTTAACTGAATATATAATCACTAAAATACAACTTTTTCTGCTAATCACCAAAACTAATACCAGAGCAAAAAACTTTTTTACATAACAAATACTAAACTCAAAGAAACTTAGTAAAATATTAGTTTGAAACAGAAGCACGTGGTATATAGCCCTATAAGACTTTTAAGACAATAAGTAGCAAAAAGCTAAAGTGAACAGTTTTAATATTTTAGCTAAAAGTTTGTCTTGCAGAGTATTAAAATTAAATAGGAGAAGCTACAGAAGTTTGAAGTTTAGAGATGAAAGAAGAGGTACACTATAGTATTTGTACTGTGACAAATACTTTTACACTCACTTACTTCTACTTAGTTTTTTGCATCCGCTTATTACCTTCAGTCCTTTAGATTTTTATTTTTTCTCATTTGTGGGGATTCAGCCTACTTCTGAAAAAGGATCAATAACGCTATATTCAAATTAGTACAGTAAAAACCACATATTTACAAACAACCCAAAAGTAAACAATGATACATGTGATTAGGCAAGCACAGTTAGTAATGAATTTAGACACCTCTTGGTAGTAGAACAGAGATTAATAATTTAGAGATATAAAGTATGTTGTAGTATCAGTATTTTACACAATTTTTACAAAAGTCTCAAGCACTATAAAGATAGTACTTAAGTAACATTTTGTTTTCTTTTCTTTTTTTTGTTCTTTGTTTTTGTTTTTCTTTACATGTTTATTATCTTATATATATAGTATATGCCGTAGGGTAATACAGTCCTTTATATATAGTATTTTTATTTTTCTTTTCGCTATACGAAAGAGTATTATCAGTTTGGTAATATTTAACTGTATGAGTGAGAAGTCATGACGAGCTAGGTAGTTTCATATAGTAATACTAATGAGGAAGAGATAAACTAGTTTGGACTCTAGGTTGAATTAAAACTACATTATAGCAGGTCATGAATAGGTACTTTTAGAGTAACTGGTCGAGTCTTACTATTGATGTTCGTATTTTAATGTGCACTGCCTTCTTTGGTTGTTAAGTTAGGTATTTGTAACCCTTGTAGTTTTATAATTATATTGAATAAATAATAAGGCATAGCTTGCTGAAAAGGAAAAAAAAAAAAAACTGAATATATGATATGATATTAACTTTAAAATTTATAATAGATTCAATAAAGATTTGTTCTTGAAAAATATAACTAACAAAATAAATTTAGTCTAATATTCAAAAAACTATATATGCTAAACTTATATTTTAATATTATAAATTATGATTTAGTGATCTAGTATAGTAGATAGGTTATAAACTACTATATAATAGGTTTAAGATTCAAATCCTATTATTAACAATTTGAATAATTTCTCAAACCTTATATTCATCTTATGATAAACTCTATCTGTTTTTGAAAGTTGTAATCTTATAAATCATATTGTATTCAAACTCTTTTTAACAATTCTTTTTTTTAAAAATTCAAAAAAGTAAAAAAACAAAAATTTATTATGGAAAGATGAAGAAATTTCTTTTATAATACAATAGTTTTTACAGAGATTAACTGCTTACTCTTGAGAACTTCTTTGTATATTTAACATGCAAGCTAAAAACGATATTATACAAGATAACTAGCAGAAGGAGAGAGCTCTTGTATAAAAAATTTTAGTAAAGATGTGTAAAGTCATTCTTTGTTAACAAAGTTAGTAGAAGAAGACTTAAGAAAAGGAATAATAAATTATTTTGTCTACACACTCTTTTGAACTCTATGAAACAATAATATATCATAAGCTTTTTCCTTTTGGTCTTCCTTTTTTTTGACAAAAGTAAAGAATTTAGGTCTCTCCTTACAAAAGATTAGTATTGTTTATTTCTTCTATTTTCAGAATTACTCTGTAGATATGTAACCTTATATAGTAAATATAATTATATGTTTTGTTCATTTACAAAGTTATATACTTTGTGTAATAACAATTTATATACTTTGTTTATTATTTAGTCTGGAATATAACCTTGATGCTATAGATCCTAAACTCTAAAGATAGATTGTATATTGGATAGAGAATTACTTGAGATAGGTTTCAAGTTGTATAACTTAAAATTTTTAAGCCTGACTCAGATTATAAAGTATCTGATTACCTTTTTTTTAGTTCATTTTATATTCTGTCCCTTTTATTATATTATTGTCTAACAAAGTTTTTATGACTTGAGGCAAGTTTTTCTTTGTTAGTAAGTTTAATGTTTTTAGATTAGTAATAATTTTTATTTTTTCTATTTTAAGACTAGGTGTTAACTACTTGTAGCTTAGTATTAACTAGGTTAGAAAAGACCTAAAATCTTGATAAGATCTAAAGTTACTTTTGTTAATTTAAAGATAATATTTCCTTCGAGAAGAATTACTGTAGAAAAAAAAATAACTTCTGTAGCAGATTATATCTAAATACTATTTGGTAGTCAAGTGAGTTCAGAATTGTAATGAGAAGAGATTTAATTATAGATTAGTTTTAGGATTTATATAATTTGTATCTTATTTGTATCTTATGATATATATTTTATATGTATCTAATGATATTTCCTTTAATAAATAACAAACAAAATTACTCAAGTTAGAAAAATCATATTGTATTAATATTAATTAGATATTAGAAATATGATAGAATGTTAGAATTGCACTAAGTTAGTCATCTGTGCCTTCAGATATCATACGAAGTAGATCCTCTCAAATCTGTTGCTTGGTGTTGCCTGCTTTGCCGTTAGATATCACACGAGACAGATCTTCCCAAATCCAGTTAGCCACCAAGCCAGGTTGGTGTTGCCATATGACCCTGTGTAATGAACTTACTCACACCTGTTTTATCGATCTTTCTGTACTCAGGACTTACTCGTATCTATTTCACCAATCTTTTCGTATACAGATTTTCTTTTCTAGATCAGACATTAACTGGTATAACTGTCGAAATCTGTACTACTTCACCTAACTCGGGATTTCTACCAAGTAGGTCCCTTGTCCATAGATCCTATCAAGATTTATTCATGTAATATTACGCCTTACCAAATGCCCTGTCATACTTTCAATACTCTGATTGGCATTAGTACAATGTGATTTACAGGGTTACAACCCCAGAAATGAGCAGAGTTTATCATAAGTTGGATACAGATGTCTAGGTAATTATTCAATTCTGTATACAGTGAAATTTGAACCCTAGACCTCTTGCATAGCGGTCTGGCAACCTAACCACTACACTAAGATCACCAAACTTGCTAACTAAATTAGAAAGATCTATTCTGTAAAATATTTAAAAAAATATAAAAGTCTAAATAATGAAAGGCTATAGCTAGAACTAGGTTTATATGAACATTGAATAAGAATATATAAAAGCTAGATTAAGATATAATGTAGCATAGTTAGATATTATAGTATCTATCTATTAAGAGGTATTGAAATAAAACTTATCTGAATAAGATCTAAATCTATAATAATAAAGTTTGCAACATATGTTAGCTTTGAAGCCTTTCAAAGTAAAATAATACAAGATTATGATTAATTTAATATAATACTTGTAGTAAATAAAATAAGATTAAAAAGTTTAAATAAAAAATTTTCTAAGAGATTTCAGATATAATAGCTAGTATAGAACTTTTGAGTAGACTACTTAAATTAGATAATCTAAAATTATATATGTAGCTAGTTGTACTTTTATAATATATATCATGTTTTGTAACTAAGAAACTAATAAAAGTTAAACTGATAGTATTTGTATAAAGTAAAAAAAAAAAAATTGTAAATTATATACTTGTATTTTTTTTATCTATATTTAATATACTCTGTTTATATGTATTAAGATAATAAGATATCTTACTTCTATATTTTAGATTATAAAATATCTAAAACTATAGTTTAGAATTTAGAATTACTTATATCTACTTGTTTGATTTATAAGTAATCTGTACTTAACTTTTCTATATTAAAGTTTGCAGTAAGCTATTAGCTGATTATAAGTATTATTACACAAATTTTCTAAGCAAATTTGTCTAAAATAGCTTGCAAATTAAAGGATATCATTTATTTTAATTAACAAACAAACAATTCTATAAAAGTAGTACTATTAAAATTAATAATAGCTATATAAAAATAGCATTACAATACTTATAGCACTATAATAATATTCTTTTAAAATATTAGTAAAACATTTTTCGATTCTTTAATCTGATTAACAGTTTTTATTAAACTAATAATCATGATTAAACCAAAAAAATCTAAAAAAATTTTTCAAAATATATTTTTTAACTTATAAGCAATAAACTCCATATTGTTTATATAAATAAAAAAAATGTTTATTCAAAACTTCAAAACACTAAAAACATGCATTGACTTTTAAGCTGTGATCTAAATTGTCTATATCTATAAGTGCTTAATATAGATTAAAGACAAAAATTAATAGCATCAATTATCCAAATAAAATCATAATTATATCAGATCCAATATTTTAGACAATCATAATGCTGCGACAATCTTTGCCACGTCAAATTTGAAACTAACCATTGGATTATTATAGCCGAGGTGTTGGGAACGTGAACTAAATTCTTCCTTTGGATTCGTACCACCAGGAGGAATAAATGCATGGCCAAATTCACTTATTTTTTGGTTATGTCCTTGAGAAATTGAAGCTGTCATTGAGTCATTACTCATGAGATTAGGAGAAACATTTTCATTCACAATACCATTATTATTCGAGGGATTTGACAACTTTAGCAAATTCAGTAGAGCTCTTTCTTGAGCTTGAATTTCTGCGTCAAAGACTTTAGGGGATAAAGGGACGCCTTGCGGCGGAGGAGAAGCCGTTATTAGACGTAACAAAGACTCGTTATTTACCCTTAGCGAACTAGGAGTACCTGGTATGCCCAGTTGTGAGTTCATGGTAGAAGAGGAGAAAAATGTATTTTGTTGTTTGATCGGACTTTCAGCAGTTGTGTGGCAAGTATTGGGAGAGCTCTTATCAGAATTTGATGAATATGTCGTAGAAAATAAACCTAGTAATGACATCTTCCGCGCAACTTCATGGACTTCTGGGTTGTGGTTTTCATTATTATTCGAAGGTCTTCCTTGACCAATAGGACCGATATTATTCGACAATTTTGGAGTAGTAATACCTTGACTCGAATGTCTGCTGAATGCAGAATCTCGACGATTTCCTAGATAATTTGAATCAGGAATTGCACCAGGATGCGTTGTCATAACTTTTGGGTTTCTTTGAGTAGCGGAATGCTGAAACATACTGAACATAGTATTGTTATGAACATTAGAACTAGACCTAGTATCCGTAGTGTTAATGTGATCGTATGAATTAGGTAAAAAATGAAATAAAGATTGTTGTGTTCGATTATGAGAGACATCATCACGGGTTATAGAAGTAGAATTGGGATAAATTTGATTTGAAGGAATTTCTGATTGAAGAACATTAAGTAATGAATTTCTACGTTTATCATCATGACCTACGGTTATTGATGGTATAGGAGTAGTTGTTTCACATTGTTTAGTTGAAGCAGTAAATAAATTTAATAAAGAATTTCGACGAAGCTTCTGTTCTGGATCCAAGGCAGCAATGGCAGCATTAGAGTTAGCATTTATCGGGACAGGAGCTGTTATATCATGATTATTAGTCGTGTTGATATGTGAATGAGAATTAGAGTATGTAGTGCCGATTGAAGATTTTCTTCTAGGCGCATGTAAGTTTGCGTCTTCCAAGGTTGATAAACAGGAAGATTGAATTTTACTAGGTGTCGATTGATGAAATGTTAAACCATTTAAAGTATACGAATTGAAAGGTGATTGGCCAAGAGGAAGTGAGGTTGAAAAATATGAATGAGGTTGTGTAAATTCAGATGCTGACATTTGATTATACTCAAAGTTTAATCCTGCATCCGAAGTACTAATTTGCTGTAGTTCTTGCGAAATTTGTAAGGTTGGAAACGTGGACATTTGTGTAGACATAGAGTCATCTAAGCTAAACATTGATCGTATAATTGTCTGAGAAGTGCCTTGGATATTCGGAGATGATTTATGTATTTTTTCATCAAATGTTGGAGATTGTTCATGAAGACTACCTTCACTTTCTGTACCCGGTACTGAAGTTTCTGGAGAAGTTTCTTTTTGACCAGAGTCAGTACCATGACCGTTGAATACCATAACTTCAGAAGATTCCTCTTGTTGTGATGTATCAGTTATTCTTTTTCGTACCAATTTTCTTTGTGATTTTAGCCAATGTCGAAGTTTGCTTGAATAGTATTATATTGATAATTATTTTATATATATTATTACGAAAATTTGTATTTCATATAGATACGACTAGTGACTATCTGTGCATACCTAACAAATGGAACGACCATGTAAAATCTACTGCTCCCATATTTTACACAACCACCTCCACAATGATAAGGAGTATCTTTGTCTCGACTCCTGATCCATGTTGGTAAGTCAGATACTTTATGCCATTCTACTTTCTATTATTATTATTTTTTTTTTTAAATAAATTTATGATAAAAATTTAGTTATAGAAATTCTAAAAATTTCCGATTTGAATCGGAGTATGACGCACGCTGATCTCCTTTCGCGTTTTTGGACAAAATTCTGTATCTTCAGGAACACCAACAACAATGTGAAACAA